ACGTCAGCCTTGGCCACGCGAAGACCGGTGACGCTGCTGTAACAGCCAAGAATGTATAGCATTACACGACCGACATCACTGCGCAGGCTGAGCTCGCTTGCCAGGTAGAGGTCTCCTCCTGGTAATCTGATTCGCTGGAGGAGACATAGACAATGTGGGTGATGTCTCCTACTGGTCTCCCCCATTCCTCTGTTGTCAGTTCTTGGTACTTGTCTAAGATCTCCTTGGAGCAGCAGCCACTGCCTGAGAGATGGGCCATCTGCGGCCACCACAACATCAGCTCGTAAAGCTGCACTGGGTGACTGAAGAAGATTTTGGTTTGCAGCAGAGGCCCATGTCGGGAAGCCATCAAAAAGCAACCGGCGATTACCACCTTGATCAATGAACAGAGCAAAATATATTTCCTAATTTCTAAGAACAGTTCAGAGGAGGGAGGGGGTTTTTAACAGAGGGTAATTTTGTCCTCTATGAAATAAATACAATGTGTATGTCATAGGGTGAATACACGTCATATATCAATGCCCCTATCTAATATTTCTTTCAAAAAGATGCCTTAAAGCCGAAATTCTCAAAGGAGCATACCTTTTAATGACATTAAGAGTGAAAAGTTACCTCTATCGACTAGAAACCCTTTTTATTTCCACAAAGAAATATTTGAATACAGAAAATAATTTAGACCTCTCCTTTAACAAATATAACCAGGTAACTCTTGAAAAGTCATAAACAAAGGTAACAAAATACTTGAACCCCAAATAAGACACCACAGAACATGGACCCCAAACATCTGAATGAACTAACTGAAAAGGTTTAGACACACGACTCGTAACTCGAGGAAAAACAACCCGATGATGCTTGCTAAGCTAACAAGCACCGCACTCAAAACTGGTGTCGGACGGAAGCGAAGGAACTATAACACGAAGACTCTGCAATGAAGGATGGCCTAATCGGCAATGAAGTTGAAAAGGAGACACACCAAAAGAAGAAGACTATAAGGCAGTAGGCCCTAAGTCACCTTGCAAATAGTAAAGACCGCCAGATTCAACTCCTTCACCAATCTGCCTCTTCGTGTTTAAGTCCTAAAACACACAATGAGAAGGGAAAAAGGTTAACAGAGCAATCTAGTGATTTTGTAAGCTTACCCACAGACATAAGGTTAAAAGGAAAGTGAGGTACATTAAGAACAGATGATAAAGATAATTGAGATATTGGGTTCACATGTCCTATGCCAGATACCAGAGATTTATATCCATTAGCAAGAGTAAATGAAGTACCTGACATGTGATCAGTAGCTCCTGAGTCAATGACCCATGGAGATGGTGATGAGGTAGAGAGAAGACAGGTGGAGCCAATATTTGATGCCTGGGCAAGAGTAGCATTGGAGGAAGATGAGGCTACAGCCAACCGATTATATTCTTCCTTAGAAATAGGCATCGTCTTCCCATCTAGTTGATTGTTTGTAGCAACTGCCTGTGGTTGGGATGTGATACATCATCTGAATAGGTAACCTAGTTGGCATAACTTCATGGTTTCTTCAATAGACGACAATACACCACAGTATGTCCCTCACGATGACAATGTGAGCAAAAACGAATTCTATACAGATCTCTACAATAGCAAACAGTGTGTCCTTCTAACCCACAATGAGTACAAAACCTAGTATTACCATTCCTGCCTCGTCCATAACCACACGAACACCATTATCACCTCTACCACCTGAAAATCATGGAGGGCCACAACCACCACTTCCATGACCTCCTCCATAGGTACCACAAGCCCATTCATTACTTCCGGATACAACCAATGTTGCTCGATCAGATGTTTGGATGGGTTCAAATAATTTGGCCCTCTATAGTCGGGAAAACACATCCTCCATGTCAAGTAGTTCTAGATTGCCTAATATCTGGGCTCTTACTAATTCATATTCAGGTTTAATTCTTGAAAGAAATTTAGCCACATACAATTCCTTTCTCTGCTTTTCCATATTACATCACTGTTAACAGGATGGTATATATTAAGCACCTCACAAATGCTCACCATATCCAAGGAGTAACCTTCAAGGGACTTATCTCCCCATTGTAAGTTAAAGAATGGCTGAAATAACTGATAAATTCTATTAACATTATTAATCCCAAAGTACATCCTCTTTACCTGTTCCCAAATCTTCTTTTGTCTCCATAGAGTTCCACGGACTTAGCTTCACCAGGAAATCAGTATCATCATAGATTCATAAGAGATATTCACTTCACAATACTAAACAAACTCAGTTGTCACCTTTCCTTCTTGATTTTGATCAATTTGAGGGTCATAAACAATCACTGATATTTTTTTTTGAAGAATAAAGAGAAAATTCATTAAAAAGAAAAGAAATACAATAGAAAGGTGATAAGGAATCACAAAAAATAGACAAACAGCGAAAGGACCCCAACTGAGACGACAACATACCATAACAAGACCCAAAAACACTCAGATGAAAGACCTAACGGCTCAACAAATCAATTGGAGAACAACAGAAAGATCCAGAAAATAAAAAGAAACCCCTTGAACTGAGATGACCACCAGCTAGACACCTAATCCAACAAATCTTAGCTTGCGAACAAATAGGACTCATTCTTCATCCATGATTGCATCTTCCTGCCTTGAGTCATCTTCTCCCAATCTTTACCTACTTCCAACCGAACTTTTCTTTTCAACTTCTCATCTCTTTTCCTCCTCTCAAACTCCTCGAAAGCCCTTCTATCAAACTCCTAGCCACCCCAAAAGAATAAACCCAGACTCTTACCAATTGGGACCTCTCTTTCCACTAATTTCTGAGAGGCACACAGCCAGCATCATCATGCTTATCGTTTTCAGTTTGTGACAACAAATTCCCATTAATATCAGAACCGTCAACGCTCACCTTGTCTTCTTGATGGTCCTTTCCCTTTCCCAATTGGGAACTTGATGAATGAGCCTATGTCATTAACCCCTTATGATCAATTCCATTTGACCCGATACCTTTCACACCTTTTCTCCTATATACCCATTTATAATTCTTTGTAGGACCTGTTCCAACCAGGCCAAGCTTCAACCTGGAAAAAATTTTCGTCACATGCATGACATAATGACTTCTTAAGGCGTGTGTTTTTTTTAACAGTCAACTCGAAAGGTGTCACCTTCTCCTTCTCCCTAGTGTTGCTTCTACGACCCAAGTCTACACCCAACCTTCCCACCCCCACCTCCTCAAAGCAAAAGTTTTTGTCAATATGACTCTCCTCCTTATCGCCAACATTTCCGCCACCATTTGATACCTCCTCTTCTCCGATCACACTTTCATCCTTAGATTCAGCATCGGAGTTGATATGTCCCTTGCCATCTTCTTTTAAATCCTCCTCTAACCTCCCAGACTCCTTAGGGACAAACTCCTCAATACCCAAAGAAGCTGAGATTCCAATTTCATAACCCAGTTCTTGAGAAGTCGCATCCATAGTCTTAGACTCAGTAGGGGAGCAAATCACTGCAGACTCACTAACGACCTGTGAGCAGCAGCCAATGCCATTCTCCACGAAACAAGACTGATCATCAATGATACTATCCCTTGTTCCTCCAATAAAACTCTTCTTGCCACATTTATCAAACCTAGCGATCACCCAAACCCATCTCTCCTCCCTTCTCTTTCCATCCTTCGACGATATATACATTCCGGCTGTCCTGCACGTTTAAATTTTGATCTGCTAGGGCCTAAGTAAAACCTCGTCCATTTTTCAAATCTTCTTCTAGGCGCAACATCTTCAGGCAAACAGATTGGTCGAGATAGGATGACGAACCTGAATCTTACAAGCGCACACTGACCAAATTCTTACAAGCGCTAGTCCTAGGATCGACGAACCTGAATCTCCCACTACTTCAAATGTCTAGAAACACCACACATGTAGGGGAATATCATAAATGCTTATCCAAACCAAACTCGTCAGATCCAAATCTCTGAGAGCTCGAACTAAAGGATTCCATCTCCCAATCCTTAGTTCAGGAGAACGGACCTGAGATTGTTCATGAAACATGGTTTCGTATGCCTCCTCCTTGTTATCAAAATTGAACAGGAAAAAACCAGCATTCAAATTCCTTACTTGAAAGGAGATGGATGGCCTCCATACTACAATTGCCCACTCCTCCACAGCTTTTTTGTCTGGGTCCAAATTAATAAAGCAACCCACCAAACTCCTATTCAATAAACTTAGCCATCCAAAAATACTTCCATTCAAATTCACACTAACCTCCATCTTTGACTATAACCAATAACAGATACTAGTTCAAAACAGATCCCTGCAATCCTGAAATACCCCCATCACTCCCATTTCTTGTACTGTGGAACAAGCTTAACCCAGATAACAACACATTTCACAAACAATAGCTCATCACCTATCACAGCACCTGTGATGATTAGAACCATCACTAATCACCCAGAAATTCTGCTGAACCTAGTTCGATCCCCTGTAGCAAGCTATAGCAGTCTTCTAGAAGAAACCCTAATCAGATCGATGGTAAAGATGAGCCCTAATCTGATCTTCCTTTTGTTACCTGTTCTGATACCATGTGAAAAGTGGTACAGCAGAGCTACAATGGAGTTCAAACCAGAAATGAAGGCAAGAAAGGAGAGAAGAGAGAAAAGTGTCGATCTGTTTTAGAGAAGGATTAGACTTCATAATCCTCTCTTAGCAGTTGGTCCACCTTTTATACTAATAATAAAGAGATGCTGAATTACATATATGCCCCTGTTTATGATAAATAATGGACAGGAGTATCCAAAACATAAAATAAAAAAACATCTCTGTCCTGCCACCCAATACACCCAGAAAGACTATTCTTTTAACACATCAAAATAGGAGGAAGTGATAGTGGTAAAGAACCACTCGTCCACATTTTATTTCTCAAAAAGTTATTGAAAAACTTAACCATAAAAATAACCTGACAATTTACTTGGTATTTATCCACATGCAAAATAATAAGAGCTAAGATGCATTTACCTTGCCACGTTTTGTGTACCCAGCTTCATGAAGATACTGAGGAATCTGAGTAGTTTTTCCAGAACCAGTCTCCCCAACAATCACAAGAACCTATAAAAGCAAAAAAAGAAAATTTTTCTCAAATACAGGATGAGAACATGTCAAAAACAATAAATAAATAAATAAATAAAATTCACCACATGATATCCAGATAATTCATTTTATGCTAAGTATGCACTTGACACAGTTTTTTTTTCTTTTTTTTTTTACATTTTTTGGCTTTTTGATGAATATGCACATGACACAGATATTGGTATGGGGACAGTTGTTAAAACCACCAAGACTTTTCTAATTTGATTTTGATGAAACTCGATATTTGGACATGCACCAAATTAATTACTAAAACAAATTGTTAAAAGGCACTACAATTAGAACCTGAAACTTAAAATTATGCAATGCCCAAACAGTCACATTAACCTTGGGCATTGACGATATTAGCTCATATAACATTTCAGTTTTTAATTGCCATATCTAAATCATCATTGCATTTTTGTCTGTTACTGGTTTTTGCTTGGTTTCTTTATTGACACCAATGATGACAGGCATCTAATGTCAAATACAACTTCCATGCTCAATTTGGAATTATCTATTCATTGCTTTGTGTATGACATGTCTGTGTCCAATACCAACACCCAGTTGATAGTCCCATCTCAGCCATGCCATTGCATCCCAAGAGTATGGAATGAGGTAGATCCAACTCCTAGACGCATGCCAACACATTAATAATACAAGTATCTTTTGCCTTTCCTCCAAAGAAAAAAAGTAGACCGGACCTCCTAGACACATGCCTATTGCCTACATTATTGATCCAATACCCACCACCAAACCCATGTAGGATATATCAATTAGGATTTTTTCGGAAAAAAAAATAATAATGTAGGTTCAAATCAGGAAATCTAAAGATGCAATGGACTTAGAAACCTGATGATCATGAACCGCCTGGAGCAGCTCCTCCCTATATGGGTAGATAGGTAGAGTTTTTCTCTCATCCTGAAAGAGCACAGAAGCAAATGGAACAATATAAGCAAATGATGCTAAAACACCAAACAACATATACTGATTTGGCAATCTGAAGAAAAATCTATGCTCCTTGTCTCTCAAGAAAATAAAATAACCATTACTACCTCTTAACGTCAAAAATGTGATAAACTATACTAAGAATTACACTTTATAATGCTTAGTGTTTACTTATAGCATCTAAATGAGACGAGTTAAAAATCTAACCATAACTGAGATAAATAAGGTTCCATTTGGAAGGAGTACAAATACAAATATGTAGAGTGCAAAACCTTATATTTTGTATTATTTTGTATGGATATGTACTGTACATATTTGTATTTGTACCCCTTACAAACTAGGCCTAAAGGATAGTAAGTGATAAGAATTAGTAAAAATGCATTATTGTAAACACAAGAATAAATTGGAAACACAAACCTGGAGCTTCTGTAATGCTGACTTCTCCTGAGAGTTATCAAGCAGCTCGGACGGAAGGTCATGATCAAACTGTGCAGGAAAGAGTAATTATCTTACATTAAAAATGTTCACATTTAAATACATAAATAAATATGACATAAAAAGGTTCCACCTAATAATAGAAAGAAATAACGGTTTTCAGCTTTTCATGGTCTTGGCATACCTTATCCCCATCCATCACAGTTGCCTTGATGAATTCAATTTGATCCTCAAAGACATACCTAAAAACTAAAACCTTTAGGAGACAGAATATGACATCCATATAAAGCACGAAATACAAGTTTCTTGAAGTAAATCCTATTTTCTAAGAACTAAGGCTGATGGTCTAGCAGTAAGTACAACAATTGGCACATCAAGTTCAGAAAGGTGTATGGGACTACAAGTGTGTAAAAAACAGAACTTACTCATAATCATCTGATATTTGTTTCTTATTCTTGGAACCAAACTTTAAGGTTGCTTTCCCTGAAAGATGATAAGATCATAACAAGGAACTTGAACAATGAGTATGATCCATGTTATAGAACACAAAGAAATATAGAATGCTACAAACAAAATATACCAATTTGATGCTCCTCCCAAGCCTCCTGCTCTGCAAATGGGTTCATTTTATCAACAGAATTCGGGTCCCTATTAGACCAAAAATAAAATAAATACATCAAATCTATCATACAATAGACACCAAGAGCTATGCAGAACATGAAGTTCTTATAAACTTCCAGAATGCACTCATTTTGTATGGTGGTGGTGGTGAGAAACATTGGCAACATTTCAGAAAGCAAACTGACCTATACCGCTGCAGAGCTGCAGCAAATCTCTTCTCCTGATTTACACCTCCCTCTTGATCATATGCTTCAGGCATTCTATACTGCAATTCCAAATAAATATAAGGATAGTAACCAAATCTATTAAATGAGAACTCCGTCAAAGCAACCAGAATACCAAATTCATAGAAACAATGAGAAAAGCAAGTTTTTGTTGACGTGAAAAGCATGGATAGTATGAAATAATTTACATGCATTATTAATAAATTTCTGCATCTTCCCCTTCGCTAAATATATTAAAAAAATCTATTTGGTATTCTTATACAAAGGGCTTGTTTTTCCCCACCAAATTTCCAGTTTCAGAAAATTTTTGGCACAAAAGCCCACCAGAGCTCTTCTATAGAAACTATAGGTTACAGAATTGAATGTGTCAATAGAAACCCCAGAGCAATGAATTCAATATAAATACTTTCTTTTTTCAATTATTGACGCCCAAAAGAAAACCAATTAAAGACAACCCCTCAATCCTAAAGTCAGTTATTTCATCTTAGTATTAGCAATCAAGAATAAATGAGACTCAAATTTCTCTGTACTTTGTCACAAACTACGCTGAGAAAACATGACCAAAGCAAGACAACTATGGCATTCAAGTAAAAAAACCCAGAAACACCGATAATGAATATGCTAAAAGTCATTATATTTTGCAAACTTTTATGGAGAGATACGTAACAATATACTCATTGACAATGAAAAATATGTCTACATGAGAGGATGTATGGGATACTACAGAAAGACAATAACCCTATAATTCATAAACAAAAACCTTAAGAATGCAAAGCTAACCCCAAATAATTAGGATTAAGGCCAACTTCAGTTTAGGTTCCACACCACCCACTTCCATGAATATTACTGTGTATGCTCATAGAGGCTAGGACCACAGGTTCCAGGCTGAACAAAGCATTCTCCTGGACTCTGATATCAATAAATGCTTTAGCAAATTTGCTGAATGAAAGGTAGTAGATAGGGAACCATTGTTACAGAAATTTCAAGTCAAACTAACAGTTAGAAAGCATCTCTGTAATACTATACTTGCACTCTTCTGTCTTTTATTTCACAAAAAAAAAAAGGATTTCACCTTAGACATATGGAACATACCTTTCTCTCAGAACAGACTTTCCTATAAATGATTTAATCAGAATCACATTACAGAATGACAAAGAAAACAAGGTTTTCAAAGAATACATACACACAAACCATTAACTGGTATTGCAGCAATTCTGGGAACCCAGGGTTTTCAAGGCAATGACCAGTAATTCTCAAAACAAAACTTGTATTCCTCTTATTCCAACATTGATCGCATTAACCAGTAATCACTCACTATTTTATAAACTAGGAAAATCGGCAAGATCTTAATTAATGACCTAAATCAGCCAGCCAATGTGTCAACAGCAAATAAGAATACATTTTTATTTATATCAAATATAATATAAACAAAAAAACAAGAATTGACTACCTCACTGATATCATCCACATCTTCAAAATGTTTCTTTGCAAGCTCATAAATTTGTTTCTTGTATCTGCAGACCAAAAAAAATTATATAATTCAACCCAGGTTGATATTCCTCCATAATATAACAACTGAAAATTTTCCACTATGAGAGAAGACCATGACGGCCAAATGATGCTTTCCACTCTAAGGTGGTAGTGGGTTGGCTGCTAAATCCGAACAGTGCTGTTTGGGGCTATGGAGATCTCTTGAAAAATGTAAACCAAAGCCATGGCTTGGGGGCATTGCAACCATTCTCAGACAAATGTCTCAGTTGTTTTCTTAACCCTTTGAAGAAATGCATGCAGAAGGTGAAGCATAAACTAATTACCTTAGTTCACGATATTCTGCATAAGTCAGCTTAACACCATCAAAGAGATACTGCTCATCCTCGATATCATCCCTGAGATTGAGCGTAAATGAGAGGGAGTAAGGCAATGCTGTGAATAACATTCTTTTTTTTTTTTTTTTGCATGCCAGATATGTGAATTATATGAAGCAAAAAATATCTAAACCCACAGGGTATGAAATAACAGTTAAACAAGGTATATACTATATACATCATACCTAATCTCTTCAAGCTTCTTTTGCTCCCTCTTCTTTAAATATTCTTGCCTTGAGACTTTTCTGCAACAGAAACAAGACAACTATTAATAACCAACATGCCTCAAACGGTCACACCCAGCCAACTTCATCCTAGTTGGTAGAAAACCAAGTCCATCAGGAAACAAAGAGCAAAGTCTAGCATGTTCTTTTTCAATTTCCTATACTCTTTAAACATTGTGCAACCATCTTAGTTTATCACTAAGTTCTTAAACTCAATTGGGTCGTCACCCAATCAGGTAAAACAAAATCAACATTCAGGCATTCAAAAACGTAATATCCAAGTCATTATAACCTCTCTAAGCATTGGAAATTTGGAATATCCAAAACCGCAAACGGAATATCTTATAACTTTTTCAATAAGGAGCACTGACAGCCCAATTAAATAAATATCCAAGAATAAATAGATAAAAAAGATAAAATGGCAAAACCTTAGAGCTTCAATATCATTTTCCTCCAAAGCTTTAGATCTCCGAATTTCTTCCTCTGTTAAAAAGAATATGCATCAGACCCAAGGCACAGATTTAAAAATAAATAAATAATTAGATTAATTTAGCAGCAGGATTCATACCTTCCTCCTTCTTTGTCAACTTTGGCTCTGTCAACTGTCAATAGAAAAAAATATAAGGAAATGGAAAAACAATTTCATAGAGATTCCAAATTGAAAACAATGGTACAAAACGAAGAAAAGAAGATATATGTGTGTGCATAGTTATGTATACATATAAACATAAATGTCAAATTTCCCATTGACAGCATTCCCAGATGTGGGTAAATGAAGGTTTATAACTTTATATGCATATGTGAGCATGCATATTATCATTAATTATAGACATGTAAATATACATGGCATATATAGATACATGCATATATAGTTGGTACAAGGGTTAGATGATGATGATGATATGTGAATATGTAAATGGCTATATGCATGCACACCAGCACAAAATTCATATTAAGTGTATGCATAAGCATCTGTGCATTTGGTCTTTGTTCTTTTTTTTCTGAGAGAGAGAGAGAGAGAGAGAGACTTAACCGAAGGTTGATAGAAGTGCAGAATACAAAAATAGCTCAATACATTTACAAAGCTTAGTATAATGAAAGAGAAACACATTTAGGAATCTCTCCTCAATGATATTATGTCTTTGTTGGCTGCCCCCTAGATTTTACTTTGACACATGGACTAGACCTGAAGCACATAGGTTATCCCAGAAAACTATACAGAACGATATCAAATCCATCATTTACCTTTCGTGTTCCTGCTGCATCTCTTTCTCTCATGTTCCTTTCAAGCTGTTCCCGCTCCTCTTGATCACGTAACCTGGCTTCCTCTGACTGCATGATAGAAAAATTGACAGTAAATATTTGTATTTAAAGAATGTGACCCTTAATTTCACAACAAATCACAAATAGTCATGTGGCAAGTGGAGAAGCCAAATTAGGAAGCAAAATAGTAAAGCCATAAAGAAAAATCAAGTTTGGAGGTCATCCAAACAATGCACTGAATGTTCTTTTCTCTAAACCTTTTTCTCCCCTCCCCCCGCTTAAATAACAAACCTATATACTTAACAGAGAATTTGGTCTCTTCTTTTTCCTTTTTTGGTCATATCATTGTAAAGCAGACTCTCTAGTGGAGGAATTCTCTTCCTCCATCATCATCATAATCTTCATCTAAGTCATTTTCCATCCATATGGGTTGGCTACATGAACCTTATTCCACAATTCCATTCTGTTTAATACCATACCCATTGTTATATAAGGGGCCCTTAAATCATTTCTTACAACTTTAGCAAATGCCCCTTTTGGTCTGCCCCTAGTGTTCTTCTAACCCTTACAATCTGTAATAGATCACTTCTTCTCACTGTTTCAGTAGATGGTCTCTTTTACATGTGCCCAAACCATCTTAGTCTACTTTCCCTCATGCTATCATCTATTGGATGTACTCTTAAGTTTATTTAAAGAAGTCCATTCTGATCCTATCCTTTGTAGTTTTCCCACTCACCCATCTCAAGTCTCAACATTCACACTTTTGCTACACTCATTGTTTGGACATGTATGTTTCTTGAGTGCCCAACACTTTGCTCCATACAACATTACTGGCCTTATAACTATTTTATATACTTTTCCTTTTAGCCTGAGGGGTTTTCTCTTATCACATAATATTCCAGATGCATACCTCCATTTTCCCAATCCTACACTAATTTATGAGCAATATCCCCCTTGATCTCTCCAGTGAAACTCAGTCTCTCCCTTTTCTAGTTTTATCGATTAATGCTATGTCATCAGAAAACAAAATACACCACGGAACCTCCTTTATAAGCTTAGTTAGTTCATCAATAATTAAGGTAAGTAAATAAGAGCCAAATGCTGAGCCTTAGGGCCTGTTCGCTTCCTCTTAACTCTTATCTCTTAAGAGGAATCTTTTAACTTTAAGAAAAAAATGGTTGTTCATTTCCTCTTATCTCTTATCTCTTAAAATGCAATCATACAACTTTTTGTTTTCCAATGATACCCTCAAAAAGACAAACAAAAACTTTCATATATGGGATCAAAAATGGATATTGATAATTTTCAGAATTCAAAACAACATTTTCGGCATTCAGAGTTCAAAGGAAAGAAAAGTTCACCAATACCAATATACCTCTTAATGTAATTATTGCACTTTCAAATGTCAGACTCCAAAGCAAACGAACAGGCCCTTAGTGAAGTCTCATTGTAATTGGAAATTCTGATGTTTCTCCCATAGGTGTTTTAATATTGGTTGTTGCACCTTCATACATATCCTCAATTAAATCCATGTAACTATTTGGCACTTCTTTCTTTTCCAAAACCAACCATATTATCTCTCTAGGAACTCTTATCATATGCTTCTCTAGATCAATGAATACCATATAAAGATCCATAAACTTTTCTATCAATAGTCTCAATAAATAGATACTTGTTTCATGCCATAACCTTTGCTCAATTACTCTCAATGTTTCATAGTATTTTAGTTCCATGATAATTATTACAACTCTGTGCATAGCCTTTGTTTTTAAATGTAGGAACCATAGCACTCTTTCCCCATTCATCTAGCACCTTCTTTGTTTTTATTATCTTATTAAATAGTCTAGTTAGCCATGATAGGTCTACCTCTCCCATATCTTTCCAAACTTCTACCGGGATGTCATCCACTTCTTAACACCTTTCCCATCTTCATCTTCTATTGGGATACCAAGTGATGGATAAAAGGGTTTTGTGAATGGGAGTTCTCTCAAGGGTTCTGAGATTGATGGGTTTTCGCAACAAATGGGTGAGGTAGATAAAAGGGTGCATAAGTTCTGTTTGGTTCTTGGATATGGTAAACGGCATAGTTTTCAAGGCACCAAGGCAAAGCTAGGTGATAGGGGAGTGCCTTGTTGCCTCGTTGCCTAGGATTACCATAATCCTCATGAAATACGCATAAACCCCATATCAAAAGATAAAAAATCAACATATTTATGAGAAGAAAAATAAGGAAAGAAAACATACAAAACACAAGGGTTGAGCCCTTGTTTTCACCCTAGAAGATGATGATGATGATGTCCTAGGGATTGTTCTTGTGTCAATTAGCTAAACTCTTCAACTTACTTCTTACTTATTAATTCAAGTTTTAAAGTATTTGTTAGGTGCTGCCTAACTCAGGGTTCGTAGAGTGAACCAAGCTCGTGAGGGAAGAGGAACTGAAGGGAAACAGAGAGAGGGGAAGAAAAAGGGGATTCAGAGGGAGAGAGAGAAAGAGAGAGAGAGAAATTTGTTCAGATGGAATTTTTTCCGCTCTTTATTTCTTCTTTGGGTTTTTATAGACAGGTAAAATGTTTACAGTTGCAGTCTGTTACAAGATGGTTACAGCTTGTTGTAGGACTGTTATTCTGTTCTAACAGTCAGCCACTTGGACTACACTCTTGCTGACGTGGCTTCTCCCTTTTTTTTTAAACTTGGTAGGCAGGCTGGCTATTCCCGTGCACAGGCATTGGTTTGTCGCAGCTCTTGGTCTTATCAATACCCCCCTGGTGAAGCTGGACCTTGCCCTCAAGGTCAATATGGGGGAACTGGTGTTGCAGTTGTAGATAGGGTTCCCATGTGGCATCCTCTTCCAGTAGTTGTGACCACACAACTAAGGCTTCTGGAACAATGTGGGAGCCTTTTTTGACCCATCTGAAATTAGTAATACGCACTGGCTCTGTTTCTAGGTTCATGTCACTTGAGAATTTTGGAAGATGTGGTTGAGTTATAGCCTCTGGTTTCAGGCATTTTTTGAGAACTGAGACATGGAAGACTGGGTGCACTCTTGGATCTGGTGGGAGATCCAATCTGTATGCAAGGGGTCCAATTTTCTCCAAGATCTTGAAGGGTCCAAAGTAGCGAGGTGCCAGTTTGTTCCATCTCTGTTTTTGTACAGAAAGCAACTTGTAGGGAAGCAATTTCAAGTAAACCATATCACCAACWTGATAGTGTGCTTCCCTATGGTGTTTATCATATGATTGTTTCATCCATTGTTGGGCCCGGAGTAGGTTCTGTTTAAGTTCATGTAGAATGCTATCTCGATTTAGCAGGTGTTCTTCTAGTGAAGCTACTGCTGTGGAGCCCCTTTCATAGGGAATCAGTGCGGGTGGATCACGACCATATAATGCCCTAAAAGGGGTCATCCCAGCCGATATTTGATAGGTAGTGTTGTGGATTTGCTGAGCTGTACACCTTGGAGGCGAAAAAGTTCTTTCCAAAAGAGCTGAGTTGTAGATAGGTAGTGCGGGATGTTACGATCCATTTGTCCCATGTTGGTAGTATGGGATGCTAATGTGAGGTATCCCACATCGGTAGAATGGGATGCTGTTGTGGGGTATATATGTGCTTGAGTTCCCTCCCTCTAACAGCTAGCTTTTAGGGGTGAGTTCTCTTAAGTTATGTATCAGTCTTAAAGGGTTCAAGACTAAGGGACCATTTGATAACAGCTGAAGATGCTAAACTGAAAAGCTTATTGCTTTGTCTTTCAGTGAACAAGTTTTAAGGAGGTTGTAGATTCCTCAATGGCTGAAACTGAAATTGGATTGATCACTTCAGATTTCAAAACATGTGGTGTTACATCCACATTTTCAAAAGAAAGTGAAAGAATGGTGGGAAGAGGATCAGGTGGAGTTTAGATGGAAGGGATATAGATTTTATAAGAAGCTACAAAAGCTAAAAGCCAGGATCAAAGCTTGGAACAAAGAAGAGCTTGGTACAATTGAAGACTGAAAGGAGGCTATTAGTAAAAGGATTCAAGAACTTGATGTTGCTGAGGCAGAGAGAGGATTGAGGCGTGAAGAAAGGGAAGAGAGATGGAAGTTGAAACAGGAGTTGGAGGAAATTTTCAGAAAAGAAGAGATAAGCTGGAGATAGTAATACAAGATTTTTCCATAGCTTGGCAAGTGGAAGAAAGAGGAAGAACATAGTGGAAAGTTTGGAATGGAATGGGGCAAAGCTGACAAGAGAGGAAGAGATTGCAAAAGCTTTTGTGGAGCATTTTAAATCCATTAATGACAGCCCCAATAGTGTAAGAGAGACTCTAACCGACTTTGAGTGGCATGTTGGAGAAAGGGAATTGTTGGAACCCCTGGAAAGACTGTTTGAGGTTCAAGAAATAAAGGAGGCAGTTTTCTCTAATGGAAAGATCAAAAGCCCCGGGCCTGGATGGATTCACTATGGCTTTTTATAGACTGTTGGGACATCTTAGGTGATGACCTAGTGGAGGTCCTCTTGGAATTCATTGAAAGAGGGAAAAAAAATGCGGGTGCAAATGCTACTTTCATAGCTTTGATCACTAAGAAGGTGCCTGAATTTCAGTCCAAGGACTTTAGACCGATCGGTCTGATTAGGAGTTTGTATAAGATCATTTCTAAAGTTCTTGCACTAAGACTCAAGAAAGTCCTTCCTTAATCTCACCGAATCAAGGGGCCTTTGTGACAGGGAAACAAATTATTGATCAGATTTTAATAGCCAATGAATGTGTGGATTACAAAAAAAAGAAAAGGAGAAAAGGGTCTGATCTGTAAACTTGACTTAGAAAAGGCTTATGATTTGGTGGATTGGGATTTCTTGCTAGAAGTTTTGAAGAATAGAGGCTTTGGGGAGAGATGGTGTAAGTGGATGAAGGATTGTATTACCTCTTGTCACTTCTCAATCTTAGTGAATGGAGTAGCTAGGGACTTCTTTCCTGCAAAGAGGGGCCTTAGACAAGAAAACCCTTTGTCACCTTTCCTCTTTACCGTAGTAGTGGATGTCCTAAGTGTCTTGATTTCTAGGGCTGATTCAAGAAGTCTACTAAAAGGATGGAGAGT